CGGAAGGGTAAAGCCTTTGCCAGTATCTTCCTATCAACATTGAGAAGGCTAATGGGCCACCAATTCTCAATTCTCAAAAAATCTTTACCCTTTGACAGAAGAATCACTGCAGATTGTCGTATAGAGGGAGAGAGCGAACCCTCTCTCAGACAGCCATTAAAATCCTCCACCAAATATGGGGCCAGAGTAACCTTAAAGTGCTTATAAAACTCAGCTGTCAATCCATCTGGCCCAGGCAACTTCTTAATAGCAAGCTTATCAATAGCTTTAACCACCTCATCTGCCGTGATGTTCTCTTTCAAACTCACAGAACTGTAATTTCCCAGTCCTGGAGTAGAGTCCAGAAAACCCGACATGCTTGCCTGATCGAGGTCCCTCCTACCCAGGAGGTCAGCATAATATGACCTGGAGGTTTCCAGGATCCAAGACTTGGACTTTGTCAGGAGTAAATACCCTTACCAAAATGACTTAATATTCACGCCTTAATACCACCAGGGTATAATATATAAATTCCAAAGATGGCCTTCCTGAGAAATGATCTTTAAGATGTCATCACAACCACAATGGCACATCCTTCTTCCATTTCTTTTTCCTAGACTTTCTTTTTGCATCCAACCACTCCATATCATCATTTGACATGCCCCAGGTCTTGACAGAGAGCACTTCATCTCTGGACATGAGGAGGCAAAATGACCCCGAGAACCGTACTTATTACAGAGCTTGGGCTGTCCAGGGTAGAACACAACAATCCTATCCTTTCCAATGTAGGCTGAGGAGAGCAGATGCTGGATCACATTCCGACACACATAAAGCCTCATCTGCACCGACCACCCACCTGTTCATATCCCCCTCTCATCCACAATCTTCTTCAAAGGGGTCAGTAGCTCCCCAAATCTTCTCAGGCAGACAGCCAAGTCAACAGAAGGGATTGATTCATTCCTTACTAGGATGGTGACATTCTTAACAAGAAATTGGAGTGAGACAAGTTTTGGGATGCGTCGCTTCCACTACGGCAGACCCCTATACACATGTTCATACTTCTCCCAGAAAGTATTGAGAGACTCGGGGCGCACGAAGGACAGGTCATACTCATAGGAGCCCACCGGACTGATCAAAGCAAAAATGTTGTCAGCCTTAAAACCCATCGCCAAAATCTCATCCACCACCAACCTCCAAACCGGGGGAGCACCCCCACTCTCCAAACTGAGCTGCACCACATTCTGCCGCCTGAAGTACAGGGGTGCAGATGGCAGACCTGCAGCAGACCTCTCCCCTGAGCTGACAGCCTGATGTGACCCCTCCTCCAAGCCAGAGCCCCAGCATAGGTTTTACTTGTAGCATGAGACATACCAGACCTTAAAGCTGCACCCTGCCCATTGGTTGCAGGAGCCTCAGAACACCCGCTCTGCAAACTACCATCAGAGGCAGCAGCAATCACTCCATCCACCAGCACACATGCATTCCCCTTTCCAGCATTACAAGCACTTTTATCATTCAGATTTTTCCTTTTACTCGTGGCACTACTGCTCCCAGAAGACCTACTCACACCAGATGTTCTTGTCTCCCCCTCGCCCAACATACTCCTCTTAGGCAAAAGCCTTCCACTCCTGGTCACTCCCCTGGGAAACAGGAACACCTTTCACAGTGCAGCTGACATTTTCCCTCCCACCATTTTCTGCTGCCTTTTCAGCCACCAGCAGGGATTGTTCAGAAATATTATCAGTTCCCACCTTTACCCTCCCCCAGCAGAGTCCACAGTCATAGGTTTCTTGGTAGCAGAGTCCACAGTCACCGAATTCCCAGTCCCAGCAGAGTCCAGTCCTGCAGGCACAGCAGCCGTCTTCCCTGCAGAGCTCTGTGCAGACACAGGAGGATTTCCCTCCAAAACTCTGCTGTGCACATGGCTGTCTATACTGTCACTTTTATTAAAGCATGGCTTTTCAATCTTTTTTTCCTTTGCAGAACTAGGTACAGAGTACTCACCGTCATCCTCATCCGCAGTATCCTCTGAAAACCGGAAGGTTCTTCCACTTAGGGGAGACTCCATTTCATTAATAAACTTTAGCAGCCCTTCGCCATTTTTCTCTACCTCCTGTGCTGTTCCTCTAGCATGTTGAGGGAGGGAGGCATTTCCTCCAGTGAAGCAGATGGGATAGCAGGGGCAGCATCCAGGACCCCCTCCTCGCTCTCCACCCATACTGCCACCGCCGATGCTGAAGTCTTACTGGCGTCTCCCTTCATTTTCCGGGACATTTCCTCATTGTGGAATTTCTCCTTGAATGCTCCGCTCTTTTCCTTCAGTGCATTCACCAAACTGCTGCTTCTTGATGGCGTCCTCCAAAACTTTCAGCTCCAGCTTCAGACTCTGCCGCTTGCTGCTCCATGCCTTACCGTGTAAAACTTTCTTCTTCTTATAATCTCCTTTCAGGTTCATCAGCTTTTCCTCCTCCTTTGTAATTCTCAGCAAATAGTCAGCAACCCGCTCTCTGAAGGCAGGGATTGCCCCTTTTTAGGGCCACAGCCAAGGTCTTCAGGTGTAGATGAAGCTCGGGAGCGCAAGCTGGGTCCCTCAGGGGGAACATGGCCTGGGCCAATCCCAAAATCAGTCATATTGCTGGGGCCAGGCAAGCATGCCTGACCCTCTAGTGTCTGGAGAGGGAGAGCAACTGCACAACTAACCTTTCTGGTGCAGAGACTGATGTGACTGGCCCAGTGTTCTCTTCAGCTTAGTGTAAAGTCCCATTCAGCTCCAGCCTCTCTGTGCCGCCTGTGCGTGTTGATGCACAGAGTCATTGGACATGGCAAAGTTGAGCTCTCCCTCTTCCATGCGACCCTCTCCTCCACGCACCCTCTCTTTCCTCCAGGCCCACTACCAGGACTATGTCTTCCATCACCTTAGGGAGAGCGTGCACAAACTATGGCTCCATTAACACAGCACTAGAAGAAGCCACCGCAAAAAAAAAAAGAGTCAAACTGAAGGGACTGAATTCAGCATGGATTATCAACAAGCTTAAATGTAAGTGTTGCTATGTGATCTTAGGCTGGCCATAGATGGCTAGAATTCTGAACAACAATTCTTAGGAAAAGTCTTAGATAAATTAGTATTAAAATTCTCAGAACATTTAAATGTCGTTCAAAAGATTTTGTTTGCTTTTAACATTTGATTTTGGAATGAATGGACTTAGCTGAATGGAAACCACGCACACTGTTTAGAATTTGTTCATTAGAGAACAATTTTTCATCCTGCTCCTTCGAATTCTCTCATCACTGCAGTCAAAAACGAACATTGATTTGACCCCACAAATTAAAAATACAAACTTTCTTAGAACATTCCTTTCCTAAGAATTTTTGTTCAACATTCTACCCACCTATGGCCAGCTTTCATTTTTACCATTAGGGTTTAAAGTGGAGTTCCACTTGACTAAAAAAAAAATAAAAGTCAGCACCTACAAAAACTGTAGCTGCTGACTTTTAAAATATAGACACTTACCTGTTCCTCGGTCTAGCTGTGTCCTCACCATGTTTGGTTTCACCGGCCGTCTTCTCTACCCGGCTATGGGGAGGAAGGGGTGAAGGCAGCTTCAGCTTCCGATTGCCTTAGGTCAAATTTGGGTATCTGCTCCCCAAAGGTGCCAATCCTTAATGCGGAGCGGAGGACAGAGCCTTAAAGGGGAACTTCCCCTTTTGAGTGGAGCTCCACTTTAATACCACTTTAAATAGTGTGATAACGACATTGGAACATACAGCTCTGGAAAAGATTGGCTTAGTTTAATCCGTGTTTTCCTGTTAACACATATGTATGTTAGCTCGTTTTAATAGTAGTTCCTGCCATATGTAAACCAGTTAGCGTTACCCTGTTATGGTGTCATTTGTAATATATGGTCTCTGTCACAAGTTAGCCTGCAGTTTCTTTTTTGTGTATTCTTACCTCCTTGCTGCAGTGCTGTTCCTGATCCCTTCACATGTGTAGTTTGTCTGTGCTCACCTATGGGTGTCCTCTGCTGTTCTCTGGGTCTTATTTCCTTCCCTTCCATCACTTCCTGGCCTGCCTCCTTGTTTGCCTGCCTATATAAGACATGCTCAGTTTAGGCCACTTCGCCTGAGCAACTTCCTAGTTGTCGGAGCTCCTGTGTGTTGCTATTGCCTGTATCCTGCATTGACTACTTGTGTACCGACCCCGGCTTCGTTCTCTGACTGTGTTTGTTTTCCGCCTGTCCTGACCTCGGCTAGTCTATCGGATTTCCGTTTGTCTCCTCCCATTGTACTCTGCTCCCTTGAGTAGTCTCCTCATCCTCAGCTGGGTGTACCTGGGGGCTGCGACCTGGTCCCAGCTTGCTGCAAGTCCACCCCCACCATCGGGGGCTCTGGTGAAGAAGCAGGCAGGGGCTTAGACTCCGCACCCTGGGGAACCCAATGTTGAGTATCTACAAGGGCTCACTACCACAGGTGCTGACAGTCTCTTCTCATTTGGTAGTACACACCATAACAGGTGATGGCAGGTTATTACACCTGTTTAACACCACAACACGTTATGACAATGAGACCACTCAATTACATAGATGATAAAACACTTCACTGTATGGCGGTGAGCTGACATGAGTTTTTCTAAACCATGCACCATAGATATCAATCAATAGGAGAAAGAAATGCAACTATTCAAGGAGCAGCAACCAGCTACATGCAACAGGCCTTTAAAATTCACTTGAGCACCTTGTTAAAGAACCTGAAGACTAAGAATGTAATATACAGAAGCAATAAACACTACATAAGTAAAACTGCTCCAGGTAAGTAATTAACCACCTCCCGTCCGGCCATTGTATATAAACGGCTGGACGGTGGCAGTGCAGGGTCGGGTGGCCGCACCCTGCTTGTGCGCGCTCCCTTCCGGATACAGTGGAACACCAATCGTCGGATGGGACCTCTATGCGAGGTCCTGATCATCTGATCACCGATTGGCCAATCAGTGATCACATGCAGAGTAGTAAGCAAGGAGAGGTCACATGGTACAAGGCTATTCACAACAGCCTTGTACCATGTGACAAGCTGTGACCAATAACAGCTCACACAGTAGTTCTCAATGGCTGCAAGAATGCAGCTAGAGAGAAGGAGGAATGATTGCTTTTACAGCCTTTATGGGTGTAAAAGCAATCAGTGTAAAAAAAAAAAAAAAAAATCTTCATCACCCCCCACAAGTAGTACAGCGTCACCATGGTGACACTGTACTGCTAGGTTGACAGTATGTAAACAAAAAAAACCCATAAATAATAATAATAATATAAAAAAAAATAAAAAAATGTAAAAAAAAAATGTTTCAAAATTATAATTTTAGTTATAAGCTAATTTGGGTTATTTGTTTTTACTAGAGGTGATTGTAGCTGTATTAGTGCACTTGCGACAGAAACAATTGAGTACTGTCCGTGAGACTTTTTTTATTTGCACTAACATACAATTTTGAGGACAAGCTTTCAGGAAGTGTCCCCTTCTTCAAGGTCCAAGCAGTACTGTTACAAAGTTTTAGCAGAATGTTAGAAGATATGTGGGGATTGAGAAAAAAAAAAGGCAGAAAGAAACACAAGCCTAAGGTTAGCCTTGAGATAAGAACAGCAAAGCAAAAGCAAAGACTGGGGGGGGGAACAGGACTCACAGAGGGAGTCATGAATATGTTGGATAATGAGTGAGGAATGCCATGTCCAAATTAAGGCTGTTATCTCTTGTGTCAAATAGAATTATCATTCTTAGTTCAAAAGTTTTTCTTTCCTGAATGGATTTGAAATTTCCTTTAAGAACTAAAACATTGAGGTCTTCCATAATGTGGTCCGGTTGTGCAAAATGGTGTCCCACAGGTGTGCAAAGGTTATCTTCTTTATGTTCCTTGATGGTATGTCTGTGCAAATTCATCCTTGTTTGCAACTTCTGTCCTGTTTCGCCAACATAAGATCCTTTGCTACACTTTCTGCACTGGATAAGGTACACAACATTACTGGAGGTGCAGCTGTATGATCTGGAGATATTGAAGATCCCTTTTGAGCGTCTGACACTTTTTGATGGATTGATGTGGTTGCACAGTTTGCAGCATTTTTTATTGCAGGGTTTGCTTCCATTATTTGTGACATCATAATCAGAAGGATGTTTCCTACTGATTAGTTTATTTCTGAGGTTGGGGGTTGTCTGAAAGCCAGTATTGGGGGTTGCTGGAATATTTCTTTCAGAGTTCCATCCTCTGTTATGATGGGTTGTAAATCTTTGATTATTTTTCTTATTCCTTCTAGTGCTGGGTTGTATGTGGTTACTAGAGGTACACGGTTGTTTGTTTTATTCTCTTTGTACTGAAGTAGGTTTTCCCTTCGGGTTCTCAAGGCTGTGTTTATGCTGGTGTTGATAGTTTTGTCCTTGTAACCTTTCTTATGGAAGGCGTCTGCTAGTGTCCCGAGATGTGTATCTGTGTCTCTTGGGTCAGAACATATTCGGTGGTATCTAATGGCCTGACTGTGTATGATGGCACGTTTCGTGTGTTGGGGGTGGAAGCTAGAACTGTGGAGGTAGTTGCATCTGTCAGTGGGTTTCCTGTATATTGAGGTGTGAAGCGTATCATCCCTGATGTATACTTTGGTGTCTAGGAAGTTGACGTGTGTGTTTGAGTATTCCATTTTTAGTTTGATTGATGGATGAAAAGTGTTGATCAATGAGTAAAATAGTTTTAGGTGTTCTTCACCTTCTGTCCATATGATGAAAATGTCATCAATATAGCGATAGTATCTGTATGGTTTTTGTTCCATGCTGTTCAAGAATTTTTCCTCCATGTCAGCCATAAATAAATTGGCATATTAGGGTGCCATTTTACTTTCCATTGCAGTACCCATACATTGAAGATAGATGTCTTTATTGAAGGTAAAGTAGTTGTGTGTAAGTATGAATACAATGAGCTGTGTAACATCCTCAGCAGTGTATTTGTGGTTTGGTGAGGATGATAAGGATCTGTGACATGCAGCTAATCCATCCTTGTGAGGGATATTACTATACAGGGATACTACATCCATAGTCACTAGAAGTGTATTAGATGGTAATTGCTGTATGTTGTTAAGCTTGCTCAGAAAGTCAGTTGTGTCTTGCAGGAAACTAGCAGTATTCTTGACTAACGGTTTTAAAAATTTTCTACAAAGCCTGAGATTTGTTTGGTGAGTGTATTCATACTTGTCATGATGGGTCTGCCTGGATTTCCTGGCTTGTGGATATTGGGCAGCATGTAGAAGTCCCCGATTTCTGGATGATCCGGAATCGCATTTATAGGTTCTGAATGTAGGTGGGCTGGAAGTGTTTTAATGAGACCTTTTTACCGTATTTGCCGGCGTATAAGACGACTGGGCGTATAAGACGACCCCCCCTACTTTTCCTGCTAAAATGTAGTGTTTGGGCTATACTCGCCGTATAAGACTACCCCTCTTCCAATGCACACCAGTGGCAGGAATAGTGCCCCATCATTGATGTCAGTGGGAGGAATAGTGCCCCATCATTGGTATCAGTGGGAGGAATAGTGCCCCATCATTGGTATCAGTGGGAGGAATAGTGCCCCATCATTGGTGTCAGTGGGAGGAATAGTGCCCCATCATTGGTATCAGTGGAAGGAATAGTGCCCCATCATTGGTATCAGTGGGAGGAATAGTGCCCCATCATTGGTATCAGTGGGAGGAATAGTGCCCCATCATTGATGTCAGTGGGAGGAATAGTGCCCCATCATTGGTATTAGTGGGAGGAATAGTGCCCCATCATTGGTATCAGTGGGAGGAATAGTGCCCCATCATTGGTATTAGTGGCAGGAATAGTGCCCCATCATTGGCATTAGTGGCAGGAATAGTGCCCTATCATTAGTATCAGTGGAGGAATAGTGCTCCATCATTGGTGTCAGTGGGAGGAATAGTGCCCCATCATTGGTATCAGTGGCAGGAATAGTGCCCCATCATTGGTATCAGTGGGAGGAATAGTGCCCCATCATTGGTATCAGTGGGGGGAATAGGTGCCCCATCATTGGTATCAGTGGCAGGAATGGTGCCCCATCATTGGTATCAGTGGCAGGAATAGTGCCCCATCATTGGTGTCAGTGGGAGGAATAGTGCCCCATCATTGATGTCAGTGGGAGGAATGGTGTCCCATCATTGGTGTCAGTGAGGGGTGGAATAGTGCCCCATCATTGGTGTCAGTGGGGGGTGGAATAGTGCCCCATCGTTGGTGTCAGTGGGGGGGGGGGAATAGTGCCCCATCGTTGGTGTCAGTGGGGGGGAGGAATAGTGCCCCATCGTTGGTGTCAGTGGGAGGAATAGTGCCCCATCGTTGGTATCAGTGGGAGGAATAGTGCCCCATCATTGGTATCAGTGGGAGGAATAGTGCCCCATCATTGGTGTCAGTGGGAGGAATAGTGCCCCATCGTTGGTATCAGTGGGAGGAATAGTGTCCCATCGTTGGTATCAGTGGGAGGAATAGTGCCCCATCGTTGGTATCAGTGGGAGGAATAGTGCCCCATCATTGGTATCAGTGGGAGGAATAGTGCCCCATCGTTGGTGTCAGTGGGAGGAATAGTGCCCCATCGTTGGTATCAGTGGGAGGAATAGTGCCCCATCATTGGTATCAGTGGGAGGAATAGTGCCCCATCGTTGGTGTCAGTGGGAGGAATAGTGCCCCATCGTTGGTATCAGTGGGAGGAATAGTGCCCCATCATTGGTATCAGTGGGAGGAATAGTGCCCCATCGTTGGTATCAGTGGGAGGAATAGTGCCCCATCATTGGTATCAGTGACACCAATGATGGGGCACTATTCCTCCCACTGAGACTTGCTGACCCTGTTCTCGTATGGTGCTGCTGCAGCCAGCATATGTGGTTGCAGCAGCACCTCTACACAGAACACTTACCTGCTGCTCCGGCACTCAATTTTCGCGGGGCCGCTCGGCTCCGCCCCCTCGCCGGTGATTGGCCGCCTGTGTGCCTTTCCTGAGCTACAGTTCTGGCGGCCAATCACCGGTGAGGAGGCGGAGCCGAGCAGCCGCACGAACATCCAGTGGCCGAACTGAAGGAGACGCCGCGCTTCCTGGACCGGATCGTCGTGGGACTGGATCCAGGTAAGAGACATCAGCCCCTGCAAACCCCTGTACTTAATGCCGCAGCCCCCCTAACATGTGTACCGGCGTATAAGACGACCCCCGACTTTTGAGAAGATTTTCAAGGGTCAAAAAGTCGTCTTATACACCGGCAAATACGGTAATTGTTTTGTAAAGTCCTGGGTCGGATCATAATCCAGTTTTTTATAGTAGATGGCATTTTCCAGCTGCCTCTGGCCTTCTTGTATGTATTTGTTTGTATCTATCACAACAACTGCTCCCCCTTTATCCGCTGGTTTGATGGTGATGGCCTGATTATTGCGCAAATCGTGTATAGCCCTTCGCTCTAGTGGTGAAAGATTGTACAGAATTTTCTTTTGCTGGGTGGATATCAGGGATGTAGCTCACAGTCTAAAGCTATCAATATAGGTGTCCAGTTTGGGGTTGCGTCCTTGTGGGGATGTGAAGCAGCTGTTCTTTTTCTTTGTGTAGCACTACATTGTCCTAGGATTCCTTTCATTACTGTGGAAATATTCTTTGAGCCTTAGTCTCCTAAAGAAATCCTCCATATCTGACAATACTTGTAAATGATCCAATTTGGTGGTTGGGCAGAATGTAAGGCCTTTGGAGAGTATGGTTAATTCTGGTTCAGAAAGTTTATGCTTTGACAAGTTGATGATTCCAAGTTCCTTTGTTATATCCACATTTTCAGTCAGGTCAGCACTTACACAAGGGATACCTTGGTATTCCGGATTGGATTCCAGGTCACTGGTAGTAGAAGGTATAGATGTTGGGTTGCTTTTATGTTTAGGTTGTATCCAAAAAGTCTGCTCTTGGTGTAGCTTCTGAAGTTTTTTTTGCTTCCCATTCATTGCAAGTTTTTGTTTTTGTCAAACTAAAAATGGAATACTCAAGCACACACGTCAACTTCCTAGACACCACAGTATACATCAGGGATGATACGCTTCACACCTCAATGTACAGGAAACCCACTGACAGATGCAACTACCTCCACAGTTCTAGCTTCCACCCCCAA